ATAAATATTTTTTATTTTTATTTTTATTTTTTTTTAAGAAAGTAATACTTTTATTCAGCAAGGATGCATTAAATTGAAAAAGAGACAGTAAAGACATTTATAATGTTACAATAGATTTCTATTTTAATCAAATGCTGCTCTTTTGAATTTTCTATTCATCAAAGAATCCTGAAAAATAAAATGTATCATGTTTTCCACAAAAATATGAAAGAGCACAACTGTTTTCAACATTGATAATTAGAAATGTTTCTTGAGCAGCAAATCAGCATATTAGAATGATTTCTGAAGGATCATGTGACACTGAAGACTGGAGTAATGATGCTGAAAATTCACAGCAATAAATAACATTTTACAATATATTCACATTTCACAGTTAAATTGTAATAATATTTCACAATATTACTGTTTTTACTGATCAGATAAATGCAGCCTTGGAGAGCAGAAGATACTTCTTTCAAAAACATTAGAAATTGTTACCGACACCAAAATTTTGACCAGTAGTGTTTAGAGCAAAGTGCCACAGCGAATTGCTGGTGAGAGGAGGAATGTAATAGGGACACGTCACAGCCCAGAAATAAACTTGTATCATCCATAAAAGTACTTTGCCTCATCATGCCTGGAATATGCATCTTGCCTAATTCACTGTCATAACTTAGCTTTTTATATAAACAATACAGCAAAAACACATCACACCTTTTGAGTGTCCATCAAGATCACATGGCTGAGCCTCTTCTGATGCAGGACTGAAGTCCACGTTCCCCAGCTGCAGAAGACCTGCAAGGATCTTTGCAAAAAGACAACAATCATGTCATTTTACAAACTACAGTATAATATTTTTTTTCCAAAAAATTCTTCCATTAACAAAGTAGTTTACACTTAATTTTCTTGTCTACTGTGCAGTCTTATTTTGGTGCATGAATCCACATAACTTACATCAAAAACTACATGATGATTCACATTCATAAATCAAAAGGTTAATTTATGTATAGGTGAGTGAAGTAATTTAGCATCTCCACCCACTATTTATATAAATACGGTCTTTATAACATCATTACAGTCATTTAACAAGTTCTAATTAGTCCAAACAACTGAGTGTATTCAGTATCTAAAAACAATCAAACACCAACCAACATGGATACCATTCATCTCCAATCATCATTGAGGTTTTGATATAATTTTACCATTATCACTTACCCTAAAAATCTGTGTCCGTTTCCCCTCATCAATGCCAAGGTTGATCATGGCTTCCACCGTCTCTTGCAAACAGTCTTCTGCTCAGACACAAACAAACAGAATGCAAAATGTCAATATCACAGTGCCTCCTCAAATTCCTCATAAAACTTTCATGCTTCAAAATACAAATTCTTGAAGTACAATCCTTGCCTTCTAAGGTTTTCTCAGCATGTGGCAACCAAGCAAAGTCTTGCTCCAAAGGCAGCATCCAATCCAGTCTCTGTTTCTCTGTGGCTCCTTTCATCATCTTCAAATAAAACCAATAATAAACAACCAACATACACACCAACATAGAATTACCGTATTACTGGAAATAATCGAATAAAATATATAAGCCCATTTCCACCGCAGGAACTTTCCCCAGGAACTAGGGATTTTGGGGCAGTACTGGTGTGTTTCCACCGCAGGAACCAGGATCTAAATAAAGTTAGGTAGTACTTTTTCAAAGGTCAGGAAATTTTGGGGGTGGGACTTGGGCGCTGAACATGCTGATTGGTTGAGTTCATGCAGCATTGTATTTCAACCACCATTTATTCGCATAATTTTCAAAATATTACTGTTATTGAATCAGAATCAGAATGAGCTTTATTGCCAGGTACAAAGGTGCATCCACCTACTTGACTTGCGCTCTGTCTCAACTTTCAGCTCGCCCATGCGCTGTTGTACGCAGACCGTCCAAGTGGTCTCAAAAAATTGCCTGCACCCGGACGATGACGAAAATGACCTAATGCTGACGGTGCGCGGACGCGGAAGTATACTTTGGCCTTTAGACAGAACTGTTAACGACAACAGCGAACAAGAGGGAGAATGTGAGCACTGTGTGCTCAGGTGCTGCCGTTCTCGGCGCCATCAAAAGAAAAGTTCGATGGCGATATATCGGTCGACCATTAGTCTCATGAATCTACCATTTGTTCCAGGTCATATCGTTTTGGCTGAGCACAAAGTTATGTTTCATAACTTTATATACTTATATAAATTTACATATATTTATATATTTGTAACTTTATTCAAATGAAAATGAAAAGAGGCAATTCTGTTTGATTAAATATTTTGTTTCATTGTAATGCATGTACGTTCCCTGAACTACATTTCCGCGGCTATTAATAGACCATGTTTAAATGAAAACGAAAAGAGGCAGTAGTGTTTGACATCATATTTCGTCTTATTGTAAATACAGTGAGGAAAACTGCAGTAGCCAAGGCGAGCCGACTGACGTTATCAAATACACTGCTGTTTCATTTGCAGAATTACTGGACTTGCGTTGTCCCGTCCCCGGGAGTTCACACTCCCAAGTCAAACTTCCGAAGTCCAAACTACCAACTACTACGAAATTTGCGTACTTGGTATTGAGAAGCGGTCCTGGACTGGGAGGAGCAGTCGTGCGCAGTCCTACGTCACCAGACTATTTGTTTAATTTTCACTGTACTTTAGGCTGCGATGGAAACACAGACAGCAACAGGTCTGGGGAAAAAAGTTCCTGGGACAAATTTTTCCAGGTAATTTTGGTGGAAAAGTGGCTTATGACAGTATATACTTTGGTAGTATTTTTATTCCTGGTTAATTTTGTGAATGCAGTCTCTTAATTTACCTGGTAGAATATGTGAAAATTTCTCTCATTTGGTGCTTGGAAAGCCACTCTGGTCTTCTCCAAAAGATATGTCTGCACTGATGCCCCAACCAGCAGCTGAGAGCTGCATTAAAAACAAAAAAATCACAGACCTTTACACCAATCACAAGATTCTCCAGGTTCATTTCCATGTGTGAAACAAAGAGAAAGCAAAACTGACCCGTTGAGCTGAAGCTGAATGTATTTTCCAAAGCGACTGCTGTTGCTATTGCGTAAAGTGCAAGCATTCCCTGGGGAAGAAGGAAAAGGAAAATAAAGCCTTTTAGAAAGCATGTAATGAAGATATCACAGATCTTCAGAGAGGAAATGAGACTGAAACATCAACTGATCCCTGTATTTCTCACCAAACGCCTCCATGACTGGGTTGGAGTCCAGTACTCGTCTTTCTATCTTCTCTACGGTGTCCTGGCACTTCTGAGAAGAGGTGGCTACAGTGGCATAATACTTCATCAGACAGCGTGACGTCCATGTCTAAGGAGATATTTAATAAAGGAGATGTGGTCTAAATCATGTTGAGATTTGACTGTTTTCAGATCAGTCCTAAACTTAGTACTGTATGTATTTGAAATATTGAGCTTGACAGTTCATTTAAAGACCGTAAATAATGAGAAATCATTATTTCCTTTATTTTTAGAGACTTTATTGAAACGTATAGCAAAAAAGGCTTTCTAAACTTCTAAAGTTAAAAGCAAGCAGTGGGTTTATTTTAAACAGGTGTGATTTGGTAACTGTAATCTGATCTGAACCGTTTGAGCAGCACATTTCAGCTGGGAATGTTTTATGAATCTGTCACAATGTGATGCAGATTTACAAAGTGACTGGCATTTAAGAATAGAGCAACTCAAGAGTAAAGCACTGAGATGTTTACATAGAGCTAGGCCTGTTTTTAGACCCCTTTAATATCATGCCGTAGCTGTAAAACATAAGCATTGGAAAACATGAGCTTTAAAAAAAAACTCAAAAGTCAAGGTAATTCAAATTCAAAATGACAAGGTATAACACAAGTAGACTATTATTAACTATAAATGTTCTGTAAAAACAACAGCAGCTTTCAGCCTGTCACCATGATGTAAACATGAAATATCAGACATACAGTAGTAGTTACAGGTTTTTTTTTTTTATTCGATTGCGCTGCTTTTCGATTGTTTTTTCTATGTAAACATGGACGTGTTTGACAGTTGCGCTCGCATCTCTTGCAGCGTCTCATTCATGAAACGGCAGTCTAAAAACGCGGCACTCAAATTAACGTAAGTTCACTCCCATCTTCTTGCATTTTTTTTCCTATTCCACTGCCCACGTCGCATCTTTATCAACACAAAAGCGTATTCTGTGTGAATGGCGCCTCGTGATATGAGCGGTTACACTTCACATGCAAGCGGTTGGATCATTCTTTTCTAATTCTAACGTTTGGTAATATTTCTATTCGCGATTCCTCGATTTCTAAAAAATAAAATCGTGGCAAAACATTAAATTCGAATTAATCGATAAAATCGCCCAGCCCTATTGAACCAAACAATATTTAATTTATTACTTACATAGTCAATCAATAATGCCTGTTTTTGATACATCTGATGATAATCCAGTAAACTAAATACTTCAGGTTGGTTTAGTCACTTTTTGGTGACTACATTTTATAGCAAAACCAAACCAGTTGACATATTTCTACCAATGCACGGAATGAGGAATCAGACCACTAATATGACCATAAAAACCTCATTGTATTTAAGGCATATTTATGGCTTCCACACTAAAGCATTTGTAACTTCCATATTTTTACGTTAGAGATGTACTGACAGGCTTGAGCGTGTTTACCTGAGGTTGAGGAGCGGAGTGATATTCCCTCATCACATCCAGAGAGTACAGGTGAGGAATGGGCTGGAAGGGGTTGAGGGCGACCAGCGTGCAGCCAGCATGTGTGTAGAAAACCTTTGCGCTGTACCTGGCCTGTAGACATTTCAGCACTGCCAAACACAAAACACCACAGCTGTAATTCAACACTGACTCACAATAGGACATTTAGAACTGGTATGGAAGCTTGTTTTTGCCACAGAATAAAAATATAATAATAACGACTCACAATTCTGACTTTTTTTCTTGCAATTCTGAGTTTCTGAGTTTTTTTTTAGAGATACAAACAAGTGATTCTGAGTAAAAAATTCTGAATTGCAAGATGTTAACTCGCAATTGAGAAAAGAAAGTCAAAATTGTAAGATAAAAAGTCGCAATTACATTTTGATGTGATAGGACTATCAATATTATGAATCAGAATTCAAGCTTCATTCTAGAATTTCACAGGCTAGAACTAAAATCAGACATCAAAATATTGTAATGTGGAAAAATATCCTATCATCTGAATTGGGGAAGAAAAAAATCTTGACATTATTCACTTGCAATAAACCATCATAAGGCCAATGAAGAAAAATGACCAATAGAGTTACAGACATATATCCCAAGCGTTTTTGCACAAAGTACCTGTAGAAGGCGTAACCGGGTTGACTTTAGTGAGGTCATCGTACGTGTGAAGTTCAGCTTCATTGATAAGGAAGTCTCTGATGTCCCCTTCCAGTGAATCATTGAGAGATTTCCTGAGGTCCTGGGTTCTGTCTTTCAGTCCATGTACCTGCATGATGCAATTAATAAAGAATAGGCTCCATTTACTTTACAGTTGCAGCAATCCAATTTAGAAATGTCTCATAAGTACAAGCCCTGATGCCAATTCAACCACATCTTGACATTTCAATAGCAAACTTGATCTTCAGAAAATGTCAACAATTTTTCATTTTCTTTAAGAGTCCTCTATTCATAATATTCTTGTCTGAATCTGGAGAGAAATATGCACACTTGCACAGATCTGAGAGGACAACAGGGGGTGGACTTTTCCACTGGAGGATGCATAATTATGGGTTATGGACTCATGTTTTGGCCAGAAGTGATGGTTTGAAGTTAAAAACATCTTAATAATGGATTTGTTTCTTACAAACATGTAGGCCTAGCTCTTTACTTTACAAAATGTTAACCGATGGACTGGAGTGGTGTGGATTATGGTGATATTTTTATCAGCTGTTTAGACTCTCATTCTGATGGCACCCATTCTCTGTAGAGGATCCATTGCTGAGCAAGTGATTTAATGCTATATTTCTCCAAATCTGATGAAGAAACAAACTCATCTACATATTGGATAGCCTAAGGGTGAGTACATTTTCAGGACATTTTAATTTTGTGGTGAACTATTTCTTTAAAAAACACATCCTGTCACAGCCATGTATGCAACTGTATATTACAAAATGCACTATACCATAATTAAGCTTGCTTTATGTCAGATGTGTTTATGCATGACATCAAAGGAAAGAGCTTTTTACATTTATCAAGCCACTACATATGCTTGACATATTTCCAACACCTTTGGTTGACAACTTGAGATTTGACTAATTGCTTGTACTATTCCTTATTTGAAAGACAAAGCAAATGCTGAGCAACAATAGAGTAAGAACATTTTCCAAATATAACACGCCTGGACTTCATCACAAAAATTTTAAATGTCAGTAATAAGCGGAGATGCTTAATTAATTACACATCCTTCCTCTGACGCTGCTGTGAATCCATATGCTCTGATGAGAGCATGTGTCGAGAAGGGTCAGGACATGCTGAAGACAAGCTAATAATACACACTGTCTGCTGGACAGGCCTGCTCCTAATCCAATAACAAACACAGGCAAACGACAACAAGACTGGGAATCTGAACTGACTGGAGAGCATCTTAAAAACAAATAGTGGCAAGAGACTTTGGTTAGTACAGAAATCACACAGATCAGTTAAACACGAAACATTTGTAACGAGACTAGGCCTGTCACGATAACAACTTTTTGTTGTGTGATATATTGCCCCAGAAATAATTGCGATAAGCGATATTATTGTCATTTTAAAGACCATTTTATGCCACTGAATATATAATCATAATGTAACAGCATAATAATGCAAGAAGGCCTACACACTTCCAAATGACAACAAACTTTTAATTTTTAAGAATATTTAGATCATGGAAATTAAGCATAAAAATATTAGATACCTTAAAAAACATTAACATTAAATAGTAAATAAACATTTTCTAACAAAAAGTGCAAAGTAACAAGTAGAAAAAAAGAAAAATTCACAAAGAACTTGTATGGAGATTTTTTCCATCTACAGATTTTTCCTGACCTTTGTTTCTCAGTAAATTAAGGGTGCACACTATTGCTGAAAAACACAATCACTACTTAGCAGTAAGATGGCCGTATGCACAGAGGCACACATCCCTAAACAAGGCCATATCTGCAGATGAAACTTTTTTTGTAGAAGCATTTTTTCATTTGAACTAGCACCTCATGACTACACATTATGTACGAGAAACTGCAAAAGACACAGGCGCAAGTGGAATGTACAAAACATGGTGACATACATTTTTAAGTAACTATAATGGGCGATATCTTGCGTCCCCAAAAATTATTGAGGTCATGTACATATATTGCGCGATAAGTCGATATATTGATTATTGCGGCAGGCCTAAACGAGACAATTACAGATTCCCATAGAATTGATCCTATTTAATCCGTCAGGAACTTTCCGTTCCAACACTTGAGTCAATGCATGAATCATAATGACCCAGAACAAAACAGATGATGACTGTATCTGCGCCAGGGCCTGCAGGCATGAGAAACACTGCATGGCACAACAAACCAACTGCATTAGTCACACTTAACAGTAAACCAAATTTAATAACGGAGGGTGACCTTTGATGCTGCAACTAAATGAATGCATCAAACCCTATGAACACAGACAATATAAAATATAGTGCTAAAAATACGTCTTCATTTACTCCAAAACAAGTTGCAGGTTCCCTTTGGAATGACGTCAAATAACTTTGTTATGCCAAAAAAAGGCACGTCTGAAATGTTCAGGTTCTGCGCATGCTCAAATTAGGCTGACCTGCGGAATAATCCGAGTATGTTCTTCAGATTAACTGCACCGCTGCTTAATCCCACAATGACAACACGAGCCACGTCAATGAACATGCAAATGAGGGAACACCGGAAAAACAAGCCAGTTCAAATGAGTGATTAGAAATAAATCACAGTAAATCACTTTATTAACAGTTATTGTTCAGCTCAATAGAAAACTAGTCCCTAGTCATCTAAGTAATACCCGTTTAGGGTGGCATTAAAGGGATAGTTAACCCAAAAATTACAATTTGATGTTTATCTGCTTGCCCCCAGGGCATCCAAGATGTAGGTGACTTTGTTTCTTCAGTAGAACACAAACTGAGATTTTTAACTCCAGCCGTTGCAGTTGCATGCATGCATGTATGTATTTCTACAGTCTATATCTATCTGTCTATCTATCTAAAAAAATAGGAAACTATAATGGAAAAGAATGTTAAAAAATGCATTTTAAACAAATGTTTCATGTAGTCTTTTAATTAAATTATTTTCCAACTAATATGTGATCATATAGACAGCATGCATAATAATTATAAAATAATTTTAAAAGTCTTTTAATAAAATTTTAATTAAAATTAAGCCCTAAAACAGTATGAAAGCAACTGTAAAAGAATTAGAAACAATGAATTAATATTTAAGCAAATATTTAATATAGTCTTTTAATTAAATAATATTTCAACTAATATGTGATCATAAAAACCGCATGCATACTAATTATAAAAAATGTAACTAATATTCCTTTTATTTAATACGATTATTTAATTAATTAACTAATATTAAGTAATAAACCATTAGATAAAATAGTTTTAAAATATAAAAGAAAAAAAATAGTTATGTTAATATATTAGAAAAATGCATGTAGTCTTTTAGTTAGGCCTAAAAAATATTTCAACTAATATGAAGTCATAAAAATCTATATCTATCTATCTATTTTAAAATATAAAAATGTAAATTCAGTTAAGTGTGCACAAGTTTTTTTAAACTGATTTATATATATATATATATATATATATATATACTCACACACACTATATGTGTGTTCTGTATCAACTAACAGTCTATGTTTGTACTTCACTTATTTTCACGCTTGTCTCTTTTTACAGACAATGGCATCGGCAGAAGTAAAAGTTGCATTTGTCAGCAATCACAATGGGACGACCCTTACGGAGGTTTCGCTGGGATCCCTCTTAGCCCCGCTGTGTTTTCTCAGCCGAGGACTCTTCCTGATAGTCTTCCACCTTGGAAAAGGGGTTCTTCCGTTCTCCTGGGGATCCCATCTCCTGCTGGACTTCACAGCACTAATAATGCCTCTGGTCCTGTCATGCACCGCACTGAGCGACATCCTTCACTTTGTCATCATGGGCATCGCTGTAGTTGACTTAGTTGTCCTCTACCTCGTTTACAAGAACGGAAAGCATCCGAGCGTTCAAGGTTCCCTTTACAGTACAATTGACAGGTTTGTGCAAAGCAGAGTAGAATCCAACCTGGTCCCGTTTGTGACCGTGTTTCGGGTTCTGGTCAACGTGAAGACCGCCATAAGCATTTTGGCTGTTGATTTCAGCGTCTTCCCAAGACGTTATGCAAAAACAGAGATGTATGGAACAGGGGTGATGGATTTCGGCGTCGGAGCGTATGTAATGGCCAATGCGTTGGTGTGTCCCGAAGCAAGAGGAAAGGACATTCAAGGCTCGAAGATCAGTCATGGGTTTAAACAGTTGATTTCCGTCTGGCCGTTGGTCTTGTTAGGGTTTGTGAGACTTGCGAGCGTCAAATCATCAGGCTACCACGAGCATGTGACAGAGTATGGAGTTCACTGGAACTTCTTCTTCACGCTAGCCATCGTCAGAGTGGTGGCGTCCGCACTTCTGGCTCTTTTTCCTGTGGACGCCTCATGGCTTCTTGCTCTTCTCATTGGTGGAACCTACCAGGTTGTTTTGGAGACAACAGGTCTGAAGTCCTTCCTCATTCACAATAGCGAGCGCACAGGCTTTCTGCAGGCAAACAGAGAGGGCATCGTCTCAGTTGTGGGTTACATCGCCATCTATATGGCTGGGGTTCAGGTTGGCCGTTACCTCATGCAGAGCAGAAATTTGGTTAAAGACTGGATCAGAGTGATCCGTAACCTTCTGTTAACCAGTTTTGGGTTGTTCTTCAGTCTTTACATATGCCAGATATGCACTGAGCCAGTGTCACGCAGAATGGCCAATCTTTCCTTCTGTATTTGGACTGTAGCACAAGCTTTATTCTTTCTCTCATGCCTCAGCATTGGTGATTTACTGCTACTTTTTTCTAAAGCCATCTCTAATTTTTCATTTGTGTCTGCATCGTGGTGTCCGTATCAAAACAAGAAGTCATTACCAGATGAGAAAATGAGAAAAAATATGGATGCATTATGCCTCGTACAGTCTGTTAACCGGAATCAGTTGTTATATTTCCTACTTGCAAATACCATGACTGGTTTGACCAATGTGTTAATCGACACTCTGAACAGCAATGATGTTTTAGCTGTAAGTGTTTTGCTCTTGTATATGTTTATGAATAGCTTAGTCATATTCATATTGCATATCAATAAAATAACCATTAAGTTCTGGTAAACACCCTTTCATTTAGTTTTTTTTTTTTTGAATGGCTCTCGCAAAACTGCTGTAAAATACACTGTATATTGTTTGCATAGTTCAAATAAAATTGAATGTGTAATTTGTAAATATACTGCTACTGTGTATTACATATGAGATATGAATACATAGATTTATTTCATGTTAACAGTAGAACAGAAGATTTTTGTATTTTTATATGCCGCAATCGGCCAACTTTTTCCATGAGTTTAATTGTCTTTGTGCCTTTGCAGTTCACGATGTAGATAGCCTGTGTGATTAAAAACATGCCATGTAGTCATTTATTTAATTGATTATGAAAGATGCATGCATTATAATTATAAAAGAATTTGAAACATTTTAATGTTTGCTAATTAAGTCTAATATTAATTAATTAATTGAAATTAAAATGAATTCATATTAAAACTATATGAAAAATAATTGTAAAAGAATAAGAAAATTAACCAAATATTTCATATAGTCTTTTAATGAAATATTCTAACTAACATAAAATAAAAGAATGCATGCATGCATACTAATTATAAGAATTAAAAAAATATATGAATCAAACTTTTATTTAAATCATAAAAAAATATGAAAAGAATTGTGAAAGAATTAGAAAAAATGCAATTTAAGCAAACATTTAATGTTGTCATATAATTAAATAATATTTCAACCGAAATGCGATCATAAAAATAGCATGCATGCTAATTATAAAGAATTCTGATTCTGTCTTTTAATTAGACTTTAATATTAAGTCATAAAACTATATGGAAAATTAGTATAAAAGAATTAGAAAAAAATGCATTTAAACAAATATTTCATTTTAATTAAATAATATTTTATCTAACGTGATAAATACTGCGTACATATACCAATTATAAAAGAATTATAAAAATGATAAAAAGACAGATTTTTTGCTAATAATACAAAGTCGTTTAGACATTTATTTAATATGAAGTTATAAAACTATATAGTTGTCAAAGATTTAGAAAAATGCATTTGAACTGTTTAACTAATGTTTAAATAATATTTTAATTAATAGTTAATCAGCAAATATACGATCATAAAAATCGATTAACTTTTAGATGAACTTTTATGAAATTATGTTTCTTCTGCTCAATCAAACTGCACACGTCAGCAGTGTTGAGGAAAGTTACTTTTAAAAGTAATGCATTACCAGATTGGGGTGTAGACTAGAGCTGGGGATGCACCGATAGGATTTTTTTGGCCGATACGATACCGATTTTAACACACAACTATGGGCCGATACCGATATTGGTCAATTGCATAAAACAGAAACGAAAAAAAAAATCGATCGGTTCACTCCGAGCAGAATTGGTATTTAAAGGTTTCTGTTCCTGCGTTCCTCTGTATTATTACATTCCGAAATCGGTTCGAGTAGAAAAAATACAGGTTAATAACGTTATTTTTAAAACTTTTTCTTTGCCTATAATAATAGAGTACAGTATTTTCTTTACTTAGAAAGAAAAAAACACACGAGGGTCTCGATCTGGTAGCCTATCTTGCGCTTGGTCCTAGCCAATACGGCATCATCTTTTCTAGATTTTGACCAAATGTATTAAAGGGGTCATAGGATGCTACAGGCACTTTTAGAAGTTGTTTGAACTGAAATGTGTGTTGGTAGTGTGTACACAACCACCCTATAATGATACAAATCCCCCCAGTGTTTTTTTTTTTATCTGGTTAAATGTTTTCCCCTTTCTCTTTTATTAATATTATTATTATTATTATTTTATTATTATCATTCAGAAATAATGTAAGCTAAAACCTACATTATTTACACCGGTAAATAAAGCAAAATATTTACAAACACAATTAGGCTATTTTAGTTCCCTTCTCTCCACAACAAATCCTCTAAAGTTGTAAGCCAAAACAAATTAATTTAAAACCAAAACTGAAGCCTACCTCTCTCATTCTGCACAAATTCAAATGTTTCCATATTCATGACGTATCTGGATGCTCAAATATTATTTATTATGTAAACTATAGGCTTTGTTCTTCACTAGCATTTTCGACATAAAACATCATCCTTTACATAGACTATAACAGCACAGTGAGGCGGTGGTTACGCTGAACGGCACAGACTGTACTACGGACTATTTAAATTGAGCAGTGTAGCTTTTTATGTATCTTTAACTGTATTTTATTTTGATAATGAACAGGCTGCGATGTCAAGTTAGCAAAAAAATGTTGTATGTGCGTGTGAGTCGCTGACGCGATTCAAAACTGTAAAGCTTTTGCAAAATAAAGAAAACCGCTTTCCTTTCCGTGAACTTCGGAGCGCGTTACAATGATCCAAACTCAGCACAATTTTTACTTTCGTTTTGTTAATCTGTATATGCCCTTATATTCCTTTTTATGTAGCCTTTATAGTTTTATTCCATTTTCTCTGTTCACCGAAACGCTGCAGGTGCGTGATGTGAACTCGTGTGAATCCGTGTTCTACATGATCCTGCCATTTATGCTGGTTTCAAACACACAAAAAGCTGCATATTACCTGCCATTCATTTTCACTTAAATGTAGGCTAATGCTTAATTGGCGGTTCATGACATCTCCTCAGAAAAACTAACTCCGGGGCATTGCCAGTGCCACATGTTACCTATGATGAATTTACAGCTGAGCACGGGCGTTTCACTGGTTGGATGCGTCAGCGTCTCATTTGCATATGGCCGTACTATGCTGTCTGACAAACTATATTTTGTACAGATTTTATTTTGTTTTGGCAAGTATTTAATTATTTTGCCCAGAGAAAAATTTTGGATTATGCAACAGACATGCAACTCATTGTCTCTTTGCAATTAATTAATAAACTATCGGTATTGGCCCTTTTCATGCTATTTCTGATATGCCGATGGCTTTAAAATAATCAAAAATCGGCCGATAAATATCGGCGGCCGATACATCAGTGCATCCCTAGTTTAAGGCTCTGTGGTCAGGATAAGAGTGTATGTGTAAGCTAATAATCCTTAGCAAAGCTACAAAGGCTGCTGAGAAAGTGTTTGCGTTTTTGAAATGGACAAATATTGATTAATCTGGGTGAGAAAAGCAGGCATGTGAAAATCTAAATAGTATATTAATTGTATTATTATTTTAATTATTAGAAATATGTTGCTATTGTACTGTAAAAAAAAACAAGCATTTAATAATTTAATGTTATTAGTATTTAAATATTAAACTGAAATATTACTATTGCGATAAGACTATTGTACTGTAAAAAAGAAGTATTTAATAATAATAATATCTTAATTTGATTATTTAATCAAATTAAATTTGATTATATAAAAAATTAAATAAAAAAATATTACTGTTACAATAATACTACGGTACTGTAAAAAGCAAGTATTTAATAATAATAATAATAATAATGATAATAATAATAAAAGTTAATTTAATGGAACTATTATTTAAATTATGGAAATTAATCCAATAAATTACAGTTGCAATAATACTATTGTACTGAAAACAAGCATTTAGTTATTATTATTATTATTGTCATTATTATCATGAGAACAAAAGTAAAATTACAATATTGATATTTATGGTAGGGCTGCACGATTATGACAAAATCATAATTGTCGATTATTCCCTTGAAATTGTAATTGCGATTATTAATTAAGATTATCACAATTTACATTGAATGATGTTTATACCATTGTTTGATGCAACTGCATGCCGTATTTTTATATGAAAATAAAAAAGCTGAAAACACTCTAACTGAACAACCTTTAGTGCTTTTCTATAGTATTAAGCCTCAAATGTCAAATATACATCAGATTGGTTTCTTCTTCTGTATTGTATTATAATATTATACTAAAACTAAAATTAAAATAATGGGAAAAACCCTTAAGATAACATGTAGAAAGAAAAAAATGCGTCTTAAGCGCGCAGAATAACATAAGTGGACTTTGAACGGTTAATTGCCGCTTTGGATGATTACGTAATTGTGGCATCCATAATTGTAATCGCGATTAGAAATTCGATTAATTGTGCAGCCCTAATTTATGGGATGCCCTTTGCTTTTGAATGTTCGAAAACTAAAATTCACGGTCATACTTTTCACTTCAGAAAATATGAAAGTCCATATAAATACGTAAAATACATTGAAAAGTGGTCTGAATTGAAACTCATAGTGGAGGTGATATTGCGGTTGTGTCCACACACTAGCAGGCAGATCTGGGCAAAGACATGGCGCATCTGGTGGCTGTCTGCAGAGACGGGGAAGAGGACTATCTGTTTCTTGCACGCCAGATTCCCTTGTACATCGATGACTCGCTCACGGTAAGATCATTTATTGGTTGCACTTTGCATTTTACCAGCTCTAAAGCCAACGTGAAATGAACATTAAACCTATTTACTTAAAAAAAAAAAAAAAAAAAAAAAAAAAAAAAAAGGTCTTATTGTGTGTGTGTGATTAATCTGTCAATTTGGGTATTTTAGCAGCCAATACCATTAAACCGGTTAGAAGTTTGTCTTGGCAGGCACTTTTGTATTAAGCAGTTATGTTCCCCTATACATGCATTACTGAAAGCAAACTGATTTCACGGTATTATATAGGAAGAAGCACTGCGTTATTTTGATGATATATACACATTTTTATGTAGATGGTGATGGAGTTTCCTGACAGTATTCTGGACTTTGACAGCTGTCAGATCAACAGTTCACAAATGAAGCAGTTTATTGAGGTAAACTATGACATTTTCTCATTTTCACTGTTTGGCAATGAATCTCATGAAACCTGTTAAGAGTCATATTTCACCTAAACCAAAGGGAAGAAATTAGGAAAATTATTTAATATTAAGGGCTTATTTAAATCTGTAACATAAAAAAATTACTATTCACGACAATTAATTTGAATACCCTCTAATTCTCATTACAGTTATGCAAAAAAAAAAAAAAACATTTTCCATACTCTATATTAATAGTGGTAGTATTTATTGCACTGCCTTTAATTTGTTCATTTTAGTGCTGGGCAAGGATTAATCGCGATTAATCGCATCCAAAATAAACGTTTGTGTACAAAATATATGTGTGTGTGCGGTGTATATTTATTATGTATATATAAATACACACCCATGCATGTATATATTTAAGAAAA